TTCCCATCGTGGTAACTGAGTTAACTGAATACAATTGTCAGAGTGTGCTATAGACTCTTGATTCATCAAACCCATATGAAGAGGTTCTACAATCCAAATGGGAGTTATTGTAATATCCCTAAGGTCTCCAACCACATCCTCAGAGGGTAGTTAGACCGCCGGCCCAAAATTCTACCGCAACCACCTTCGAAAACGGAGGTGAGGTGGTTGGAGCATGTTGGAGCCTTTTAAAATGGACCATCCAATGGGTGTCCAAATGGAACCATTCTGAGTAGTGCAGGGTAGTCCAGCCAGGACACCCAAACAGGATGGTCCTGGTATCAGAATTGACGTTTTTGTTACTAATAGCTTCTTTGTTACTACTAGTAAGGCACCTGTTACTACTAGCGAGGCACTTGTTACTAATAGCTTCTTCGTGACATGCTTTTCCACCCCCCCCCGACGGACGCCATGCCTCTGGACCGACGCCGAGGCACACGAGGAGCGGACGCGGCTTGAAAGGCCGGGACCTGCGGACTCAGCGCGGACGACGAAAGGAGCAGCCCCGACGACGTGCGAGGTCAGAGGTTTCGCAGTGGTCATCGTGGCCCGAGACACTCAAAACCAGAACGTATATACTGTGTCTTAAGGATATCTTGATCCATGTTCTTCCAGTTTCTTGCGCATGTGTCCTCATCGAATTGAGTCTAAAAGCACCAAATGGAACCACAGCGATTCCGTTGGGCCACCAACCAAGAGGCACAGCATCACTCTTGCCGCAAGGCTTCTCAAGCGCCCCTCCACACAGGCCCGGATACGATGTTTTCCCCAGAGGTGGATTCACCATGATACACCCAGTGCGAGAAAATACATCTTTCTGTAAGCAAACTCAGGACCTGAGTTACCTAATAATCTTAATACATATTATACCGGGTTTATTTCTTCAACTCAGGTCTTGAACTGAAAAGACTTCCCACGGTGTTCCACACGCCTCCACGGCCGGCGTCAAGCACGCCAGCGCGCTCAACTGCAGCTGCGAGGGCAGCGCTGCTCGAGCCCTGGCGGTGAAATCCGGAGGCGAGTTTGGGGCCAGGCGGCCAGGTGAGGATTCAACATAAACACTCCGTTCATAAACACTCCGTTCGTATATGGCATATTTACATACATTGGCATTGGGGGTGGTTTCAGTTGTTAATGTAGCCGCATCCGCATATATCATATTCCGTATATATTCATGGGTGACCGGACGTCGAGGCTTTAAGAAGTCTCTCCCCGACATCTTTCACAACCCGACAGCTTTGTAACAGTTGCACGGTCTGTCATTCAATTTCAGGTTTGAATTGGCAGCCCAGCTGCTCAAAAGCTGCAATCGTTGCCTATTTACACAGTTTTACACACATGCATCGTTACGTCAAACGGCCCACAGATGCGGGCCGTCTGACGTAGCACAGTGCTGGATCACAGCCGTCTTCGTCGCCACCTTCGTTCGCATCGGTGCCGCATCTCACCGCATCCGTGCTGTGTCAAGGCCCCACAGTGAAGGTGTTTTTCACCCCAAAACCCCACACCTGCGAAGACCCGATTCGCTGGGCGAAAACAGATCTCCACGGTCATCCTGGTCCCACCGACCAACCTGCCCGACGAATGGTCGCCTTGGCGTGCGTCTTTCGTTGACGTCCGGGCGCTCGGGGGTCTCGACCGATGCACCTGAGCTGAAACAGGATGTTGCAGAAAAACGCTGGGGGATGCTGGGGTGGACGCTGTGAGGACATGGTCCCCAAATCGTCTTGGAACAAAACGGGACTTTCGGGCGAAGGGGGTTTTAAGAATGGAGAAATCAGAATCCAGTTTGACATTGATCCCCAGCGCCCGCAACACTTCACGGAGATAGACTGAATTTCCTGCTTTTGCGCCTAAACGGAATTCCCGGAGGTGTTCATCTGAAGGGATGGATGATGGGCCCACTGCAGGCAATGGACTTTTGCGGGTCGTTCGGATCCCAAGCAATCCAGTATACATTTTGCATCTTGTGGGATCTTTGCCCTCTCCCCATAAGCCGACCCCACAAGCACCATACACGGCAAAAAATATGCCTCCCATATGGAGGCCATCTCTTTTTGGCAGGTTTGGAGGCCATCCCCAGGCCGCTAGACATACCTAACAAAAACCGCCTCCATATCCAAGACTCTGAACACCACGTCCAACCTCTCATTCCCAGAGACTCGCCTCCATTCAGCCTCTGCTCATGCTCAGCCGGAGGTCGCGCGACCGCCGCGACTCGCGGTGGAGGAGTGGCCTGGATGAAGCGAAAAGCTGAGGGCCAAATGTAAAACTCCTGGGGGAAAAGATGCGTAGACCGAGTTTCACATCAAGTTAACATGTTTTGAACATGTATTAAACTGCAGTAACATGCAGTAACTGTCTGTTCGTGGTTGATGGTTTTTCGGAGGCATGCATGATATCATTGCAGAATCACTCCCTTTTGGCAGGCGGACACAGGTCACAGGTCCTCCATGTCCGGACCGAAACGATCGCCATGTTCCAAAGATGTCCAAATTAGCTCCAGCCGGCCGTCGCAACGTTCGAGACGTCATGCATCGTTTCAAGTCGTTCGGCAGTCGATCGTCGCTATGAACTGCCGCAGAGAAGAGGTTTCTCAAGAGGTGCTGGCTTTGCCGACTTCACCTTTTGGACAGGCCAACCCCTCACTGACAGGGCTGAACGAAAACAACGTCATCTTTGGCGATCTCAGCTTGATCAAAAGCTTTGAGTCCAATCCCATGCAGGGGTTCTTCATCAAACTCTTCCACGTTCTTCCAGCCGACTTCCAGATACTGCCGTCCTCACTCCGCCTCGTCCGTCCTCACTCCGCTCGCGGACGCTTCGTGGCAGTCTCAGGAGCTTCCTCCTCGCTGTCGGAGCTGTAGTTCACAAGAAGACTCGGTGCCGCCGGCTCCGTCGCCGCACCCGGTGCAGCCGCCGACGTCTCCGTCTCCTGCGGACGGGAGCGCGACGCGCGAAACAGAAGACGTCGGAGGGAAGACGGATTCATGGCGCCATGGCGCCATCCCTGCTTGGGTGTCTCAGAACTTAAGTTCCCAAGCCCAACAATTGTCCAAAATGCATGAGTATATAGCCTGTGTCGCTGTCTACTTCGCAGCAAGTGGGGGGGCGACTGGTCGAACCTTGCCCCACACCGGCAGACCGCGGTGTGAGAGACTCCCCCCAAGTCCGGCACCGAGGTACCTTTCTTGGGACGGCCGGCAACTGGAAAGAGCTATCCAGCTGGCCGGCCAACGCAAAGGGCCCCGAGCATGTTCAAGCCATCACTCAATGTGTCACCAACCAGCCAACATGTCCGAGCAAACTAGCATGTTCTTGGGCTCCTTGGGCTCCTTGTTCTTGATTTGGATCTTGGCACCCAAACTGCCAGTGCCCCGACCTTTGCTCGCCTGGCCATGTGCCTTTGAAATCTTGGACTCGGTCTTTGGAAGGTCTGCTTCCGCCTTCAAGCGAGCGAACATCTCCTTCTCGCTCTCCTTCAAGCTAGCGAGGGATTTCAGGGATGTCTTGAGAAGTGTTTCATACACCTGGGCAAACAAAGCTTTGCAGGATCTCAAAGCAAGCAGGATCTCTTTGTTCCACAAAAGCTCCCCCCCACAGTTCTTAAACATGTTCAAACATGTTCAAACCAACCGCCTCGCCGCCTCACCCCATCGTACCCCATCGTAACACGCCACGCCTGGGGTGGCTTCCGCTCGCCGATGGCCCAGAACTTCTCGTAAAGCCCCAGGTCCAAAGCGCAGTTCCGCTTCCGGCGCGCATCCTGCGGTATCTTCTTCCATCCCAACACATCTTCTGTTTCTGCGCGAAGATGTCTGATATATACATGCAGGGAGTCTCTCTCTGGGGGCCACGTACCAATTTGTATTGGAACTGTAGCGTTCGGACATGCCCGTTGGTCCGGAAGGATCAACGTTAAGGCGCTTGAAGCGAACATGTTCGGAAGTCGTTAGCCTTCCAATTTCAAATTGGAAGGCTAACGGGGTCTGATGATATGGCGAGACGAAGCGCATGAAGCACTGCTTTTGGGAACATCGAGCCGAAATGCACAAGAGGCGCCCCGCCTGGTCATAGTCAATCTTCAGCCCTTCGTCGACCGGCTCCCATTTCCAGCCCTGATGCGCTCGGAGGGCCTTCGTGGCGTGCTCAATCGTATCGTAGTCCACGAAGACCATCCTGGTTGAAGAAATTCCCAGCTCATTGCAGCTATGATAATTAAGGACCCGGCCATGCAAGTTGGTGAATCATATGACATCATGCGCATCATGTCCAGTAGGTCTAGACAAGTCGAAAAAAAAAAAAAAAACAGTATATTCGGGGTCGGCGTGTGATCCTGTGGCCCACCGCGTCCTCCGAGACTTGTGGCCCACCGGCCGGCACTGCAAGAAGCCGTCGTCGTACTCGAAGACGGACTGGACGCTGTCCGAGGACTCGGCATCGGGGATGCCCGTGACGAAGAGCGTGTAGGAGGGCTTCGTATAGGTCCTGGAGCGGAGAACAAAGCAGGGTTTGAACTCGTCAAGGGAGAAACATCCTTTAAGGAACCTGTCAGGTGGAAAAAGTCTCCACCTTCGTTTGGGGGACAAGATTTATAAATCAGATTGTTGCAACAAGGGTCAAGGGGGATTATGCAAGATCATGGAACTGTTGGTCATCACTCACGACCTCACGACTCGAGTGCCATCGCCGTCCTCTGGCCTTGCCCTGCCGCGTGGCCGCCGAAGCGCTCCTGGTACTTGGAGCCAAAGGGGTTCACGTCCACGCCCAAGCGGTGCAGCCCCGACATCGGCCGCCCGGGTGTGGTGGCTGTGGTCCAAGCACGCCACCACACGCGCCGGCGCTTTCGCTTGCTGAGAGAATTGGGCTGCACGTTGGGACAACTGTACGTCCGAGCAAACATGTTTGCAGGTTGCAGTGTTGCAGTGCAGAATCCGTGATCATGATCATTAGAATGAGGCATCGTGCCTGAATGTTGTTGAGATGTTGAGCCAAAGCCATGTTGAAATACAAAATGAATTGTAACTAGGCTAGCCTTAAGCACGTGACATTACCTCCAAAACTCTTCCAAAGCAGCTGAGCATGTCACAAGTAGGGCTTGTTCTGACAAACTTTAAATGGTTTCATTCAAATTGCTGCCATTCTCAGCTCTTCAACACATCGGCCTCAAAGGAGTCCGCTGTCCGGCTTGACTTCGCTGTCCGGCCACCGTTCGGATCCAAGGCGCGCCTCCACCGCCGTCTCCGCCCGCGGCACGGAAGTCACCGCGGCCACGTCGCTGCGCACGCCGCGGCCACCGCCGCGGTGGCCTCTCAGAAACTGGCTAAAACGAAGGACCTCAAGAAGTGGGTCGTTTTCGGCATGCCGGTTTTTGGGAAACATACTCCAAAACCAAGAAACATGCTCGGTGCTGTTTCCGTCGAGATGGTCCGAAAATGACTTGAGCTGCAGGGGTGTGACCTACACAAAGAACACGTATATTATGGACCATTTCACGTGACGCATGGGCTTTTGTGTCCAACTTTGTTAGCTAGCGCATCTTTTAATAGGGAACCCCCAACCAATTGGGTTGTGGTCAGAAAGTCTTTCACATATCTTGATACTTCCTTCTTCCAGAAACACACCCATGTTGGTGAATCTTCAGAAAGCTGAGTGACACGTGTGCCTCTTGCGTCCACGTCGAAGCCGCGCTCCAGGCAGTCTGGGCAAAACCAGGAGCCTCGAGGCCTCGCAAACGACAGGCGTCGCGGGAGACCAGCCCCCCCAGTGCTGTTTGATATACTTGTTATTTGCGGTTACAAATTATTTACATTCTTTGAGAAATTGTGGTGCTCCGTTCCGAGACTGAAGATGCATATTTAGTTTAACTCTATCGCAAACTAAAATGGAACCTGAGAATGGACCGGTGGCTTCGACCCTTTTCCTCTACAAAACCGTGGTTTTGGGGGGTCCTTGTGGTCGCAGGGTCGAACTCTCCCCCACCGCCCGCCCTGAGACGTGCCCCGCGGGACCGAGTGCAGGCAAAGCACGTTGACTATACCCTATAGGGCTCCAATCACATCGCCAGAAGGTGCTTTGGGAGGGGTGCCAGGGGGGTCTGTTCCCGCCTTCTGAGGATATGGTTGGAGCCCTAGGGATATATCATATATATCTCTACTATTCTCTACTGTGTTTCCTTTTTTACTCCATGTTGCTCCAAACCCTTCCAGAGGTCTCACCCAAATTTGGACTATCGGCTACTGGACCTCAAGAAGTTGGACCTCAAAAGACCTTGTAAGGCTAAGCCGCATTAAACCGCTAAGCTGCTCAACACCAAACAACACACGATGGACCCACTTTGCACGTGATTGACATACCGTGACCCCAGGTCGTGCGCTTTTCGTCTTCCACGAGCCAGGCGCTCGTCAAATCCTCCAAACAAAAAAACATCCGCAACATCATGAACAGTGTGTTTGTCCCCTGAAAACGCTGAGTGTCCAACACTGCAGAGAGCCCTACGCAGGTGTAATGGAAGGTGGCATTGCCTTGGAAGAAACGACGGTGTTTCTTCGTCCACCGAGTCGTGTTTCGGAGCTCGGAGGTTCGGGGAACAAAAGTCTATCATAATGAACACCCAAGTGGCATTCAGGTGTCAAAACTGTAGCTCTATATGCTCTATACCAATAAGATGCCAATCAGGGACTTGGTAACCTTCCGTGTCTCAGCAACGAAGAGAAGAACGTACACCCAAATCAAGCACCGAGGATACCCAAAGTGGAGGGCTGTGGAAACTTATGAAATAAACACAGCAGATCCACGGACCATGTTGTGCGTGGCCCAGGAAACCGTCAGCGTTTTGTGGTCAAGATGCATGGATTTAAGGGCATTGTCACCTTTAGCCTATGGCATCCAAGTAAATAAAACACAAGAAACTGTTTGACTCCTCTTGCAAGTGGAAACCACCTGTAGTTTGGTGGGGTGGTAAGTAAGTGGGGAGCCATTGATTCATGAGACATACCTTTCTTGGGGAATCCATTTTCGTACGGCAGCCTTGCGCCGGTTCCGGGACGTCATGCCAGACCGAGGCCACAGACACGTGCCGTGCATCCCATCGCAAAGCAAAAGCTTTGTTTCGTCTCCTGCCTCGGGCGATGGGAGTGACTCGGGGTGACGAAGCGACGTGTTTGGACGTAGGGACGGACATCTGAGTGTGTGCCATGGTGGCAGTGGATGAGTCTTTTCATGGTTTTTTGGGTCTCTGAACATGCCCATATTGTGAGCAAACTGTTTGTCATCTCTTCATGGTCCTGCCTCCCAGCCGTTCGGTCGGCTTTTTGCGGCCACCATCTTCAATGGAGGCTTCTGGTCAGCCACTTCCAACGAATCTATAGAATCTAGATGAAGCTAGTAGCAAACTTTCGAGCACTAAAACATACCCCAAGCATCCCCAAGCACTTCATTTAATTTTATATGGCATATTTACATACGTTGGGGTGGTTGAAGTTGATGTCAATGTATATAGGTAAATATTCCAGTCCCATTATCGATTGGGTACTAAAACTAAAACTAAATTAGACTTAATTCAGTATGCCAGGATGCTCAACATCAGCAAGGTGGACATCAAGCCTTTGGGGTCCCTGGCTGGGTCCTTTCGTGTGAAAACCTCGTCGGAAAGCTGGTGGCACGGAGCCCTTTCATTGCAAAACAAAAAAAAACACATCCCCTAAAGGGTCCAGCACCATCCGAATCGGATGTGCTTTGGCCCCCCGTTCGACCATTCTCTGGAAGTACGAACTCACCTCCGTTCGACCATCCGCAGTGTACCTGGACCCTATGGGATCCGTTCTTCCTCTGCCCCTCATCATTCTCATCCGAAACCTCGGCATAAACGGTGTCCCCCTCCAAAAGGCACCGAGCTGCCCCCGAGCAGCCCAGCCCTTGTCTCCCTGTTCGACCGAACATCGCCTCCTTGCATCGCTCGCAAATGGAAATCTCTTCGAACTCCTCCTCCTCCTGGCGTGAGACGACAGGCCACGCATACGAACGACGCGAGCGAACCGAACGCATCGCGACGATCGAGTCAGTACAGTAACAAGTTAAGACGAGAGGTGAAGACAACGCAGGCGGAAGGTGCGCAACGTGGTGCAGACAATGATGGCTTGGCAAACGGAAGCAGCTGGAAGAACCAGTACACAGGGCATGTGTGTTGAACGTTTGATCTTGCTTGCTTGTCTGACAAAATGCATGCAGAATAATCCGTCGTAGCTGGAAAACGACTGATATGTGCGGTCTGTACAGTATGACCTCCATAATGAATCCATAGTGGCAAAATACTCACACGTCGAACAGGTATCATATTTAAGGGCTTACGCCCGACAGCCGGCCAGGGGCCCAAGCAAAGGGGAGTGTGGTTGTAGTTGTGGTTGTAGTTGTTGTTGTTGTTGTTGTCGTGGTTGTTGTTGTGGTTGTGGTGGTTGTGGTTATTGTGGGGGGTTGTGGTTGTTGTTGTGGTTGTTGTGGTTGTTGTTGTTGTTGTCGTTGTTGTTGTCGTCGTTGTTGTTGTTGTGGTTGTTGAGGTTGCGGTTGTTGTTGTTGTTGTTGTTGTCGTTGTTGTTGCTGTTGCTGTTGCTGCTGCTGCTGCTGCTGCTGCTGTTGTTGTTGCTGTTGCTGTTGCTGTTGCTGTTGCTGTTGTTGTTGTTGTTGTTGTTGTGGTTGTTCTCGTTGTGGTTGTTCTCGTTGTTGTGGTTGTCGTGGTGGTGGTTGTGGTAGTGGTGGGTGTGGACGTGAGCCCAGCAGCCGCCCACGATGCAGACGAAGCACCCCGGTGCGGCACGCATTTCCAGCATTATTTGAGCCTATGTTGGGCCATGGTGACGCATCTTGAGCCACAAAGCCGGAAAAATGCAAGAAGCAGAAAACATTGTAAAACGCGGGACTGCGCAGGGGTCGGCGGCAGGGGCGGGACTCCACTCTCTCCTTCGGAGAGGAGAGATGCCTACGGCGAGGACACGGCCAGGTCGGGGCCCCTTGGGCCCCTGGCCGGATTTATGAGGCTTACGCCTGACAGCCGGGCGCCGGCCTATTTGGGTGTGGGATATGTGCAGGGCCGGTGCCCCGTTTGCAACATGGGGCCAACGTACGCCAACGTACGGCAACATAGGCCCAACTCAGGAGAACATATGCCTAACATAGGTGTAACGTAGTTTCAACATGGGTTTAAGATGTGCTCAACATACACCACATGGGCCCAATTTGGCCCAACCTAGTGCCAAGATGCGCACCTTATGGCCAAACTTTGGTCAGTATAGACCCCACCAAGGCTCAAAAAAAGAGAAAGAGAGAGACAGAGAACCCAACCTTAAGATCCAAAAAAGCCGCATAAAGAGGGTGTGTGTAGGGCACGGCACTTTCTCTTCTCTGTCGCTCTTGCTTTGTCTGTTTCATTCTCTCTTTCCCTTTCCTCTCTTTGTCTGTACCTGTCTCTGTCTTCGTCCTGGTATCTCTCTTTCTCTCTCTCTCTCTTTTTCGTGTCTCTGTCTTTCACTTTCTTGCCGTCTCTCGCTGTTTTTCTCTCTTCCCTCTCCTTGGCCTCTGTCTCCGTCGCGGTATCTGTCGGTAGCTGTCCCTGTCTCTTTCCCTATCCCTGCTATCAGATTGTGGGGGAGCATCGCTCTCCCACCCTCGTTTACGACGGGGGCCGGGACTTCGGGCGTCCCGGCAGCATCCTTCGCAAGAAGGGGGCTGACCGCCCGGGTGTGCATTGCGCACACCGAAGGTCGGGAGAGCCGTCGAGCACGGTGGAGCGCAGGCGGGGACCGAGAGAGTTAGCGAGACAGAGCACAGCGAGCACGGAGTCGCACCAAAGCGGAAACATATGCGGATGATCGAGAACTTTTGGTTCACAGAACACAAGCAGAAGCATGAGCACGATAAGCTGAGGTACAAAACCACCCTTGGTAGGTATATTTCATTCCCTACGAGAGCGTTAGGTTCACGTGCACAAAACCACTCTGGGTAGTTCTATTTCACCCCCTAGAAGAGCTAATGGTTTACAAAAAGAAACAAAAGCGCTGTCAGACAGAGCACAGGCAGAGGCAAGCGCACGAGAGGCTAGTGCGCAAAACAACCCTGAGTAGGTCTATGTCATCTTCTACCAGAGCTTTCGGTTGACAAGAAGACAAACAAGCGTCGTGGGACAGAGCAGAGGCAAAGGCAAGAGCATGAGAAACTGCACCAAACCACCCTGGGCAGCTCCATCTCACCCCCTACCCGAGAGCCAGCGCATCGCGCAGCCGCTGCAGCCAAGTCCGCAA